TTGGAGGCACTTGCCATGGCAGGGCCACAGGGATTTGCTGGCAGCCTGCCCTCAGCCCCACTCACCAGTGGCACAGCAAATTGGGACTGGAATTTGAGCTTCCTCTGTTTTGTGGGAAAGAATCTCACCCAGACTGAAAAGGTTGGGTCAGATTATCCTGATGAAGAACTTCAGGGCAAGCTGAGTATTTTTCAATGGGTAACTGTCAGGTTTTCTGAAATTAAAAATTCCCATTTCAATTTGAGGGTTGTGACAGAGTCCTGAGAATGGTTCTGCCCCAGCATATCACCCAAATCTTTCTCTTCCAGGAATGAGCTCTGGGTGTCCTTTGAAAACTTTTCCCTGAGGGCACCAGCAGTTGGATGGTCAGGCTTCATTTGCAAGTCCATCGAGAGCAGGAAACCCCTCGGGGCAGTTGGGTTTGCTGGAGGGCAACATTGCAGGGCTGCTGCAGGAAAGCCAGCCCAACCTTGTGTGCGCATTGTCCCTGACAATGGTTCTGCCTGGCAGGGTTCACAGAGCAACAACAACCACATAAATAAGTCAAAGCATATGACTCAGGATAGGAAGCTTGGACTTTCCTGGAAAAATCCTCTTTTGCACAGCGTTAAAGATGCCTGAGCCTTAATATTCTGCCATCCACGTGTAAAGCTTGGGCATCTCACCAGGGAACAGCGTGACCAGCACTGGCAGCAAGCAAACTGGTCTGGAGGTGCTGGGGAAATTCCCTTGGGAAGCACATTCAAATCAGAGCTGCCTGGAGGTGTGCACAGCCCCTGGATGCAGGGAAGGGAGGTGTGATCAGGAGGGTGCTGCAGACACTGATCAGCATCCAGGACCATTCTAGAGCAAAGGTGAAACTGGAGGAAACACTTTTAACCGTGACCTCGTGGCCACAGCACTGGACAAAATTAGGCAAGTGGAACCTGAGAAAGGGGCTGAGCTCCCAGCCAAACAGGATGGTGAAGTTAAGGAGCAGATCAGTCACATTGGCTGCTTTGTGCTCCTCGTCATGCACAGGCCTTGCTCCAGGCCACTGAACTAAAGCTGTTCCCAAAGGGAAGGCTGGGCCCCTAGGTGAGCTTGCCAGACCAGCAGAAATGAAGCTGGGGATATTCCAGCCAAGCAAGACCCAGAGATGCTCAGAGACATTAATGGCCACCATCAAAGCATCTTTAAAGCTCCGGGCCAGCAGCAAAGCAGCCGGCTGTCTGTGATAAATATGCAAGCCACGCTTCAGCCGGGGAGAAATAAATAAGCTGTTGTACAGGGAGCAAGGGAGGTGGGGAGCTCCTGCCCAAATCACTGCTCAGCAGAGGAGTTTCCCTGGAGACTGCTGCCTCAGAGCCTGCAGGGCCAGCACAGGGAGCTGCTTGCTGGGGTCTGGGCAGGCACAGGGACACAGCTGGGGTGGAGGATGAGGCAGAGGAGCAGGATTGGGGATGCCAGTCGGGTGCTTTTGTTGAATTTGGGGAAAGAAGAGACCAGTGAATTGTGCTGCAGAAATGTGGAGACTCCTTGGCTCTTCTCAGCAAGGCCCTGGAGGGAGGAGCAGGATATCCAAGTGCTGTGGACACTGGGCAGAGCAGGGCAAGATGGGTCCAGCAGAAGTGAAGACACCAAGGGAGGAGTGGAGCACATGGAGCTTGCTGGACATGGCCAGCATGGAGGTCCTGCACCCCAGCTTCCCTTCCCATGAGGGATGGGTGTTTGAGAGCTGACCTGCCAAGGTGATGTTCCCTACAGCTGATGCAAGAAGCTTGCTGGGACACTTCCCTCTCTCCCCCCTTGCTTGTGCATTTATTTTCTAACTCTGAAAACCTGCTGGGGTTTGGCCTGGCTGGGCACTGCATGAGGGTGAGACTTGCCCAGCTCCCTCCTGCCTGGCAGCTCTGGAGCCAGTTTGGCTCTTGGCCACCATGGGCTCGTTCCTGCTCACGTGGCAGCAGAGCAGTGCCCCAAAGGGACCGAGCTGGAACCCTGCACCTGCTTGGGGGACAGGTGAGGGACACCTGCAGCTCCCCTGGCCACAGCCACCTTCCTCACCCAGCTGGGATCCCCATGCCAGGAGCTGCTCCTAGAGGGGGTGAAGGTGGGAGACTGGCTGGGAGCTGTGCAGCTCACAGGTGACACTCATGAGCATGTCAGGGACTGGGCATAGGAGCACTGGATGTGGCTTGGGTTATTGCAGCTCAGGTATTGAGCCAGCCAGGCCAGCAGACCTCCTTTTGGAGTTATATTTAAACTTCCTTATGGAATTTTACTGGCCAAATTCTTGAATGATTTGGGATGAGTGCTGGTGATCCCTGAGGCTGTGGCACAGGAGGGTACTCTCTGAGCCAAGAGGCACACAGAGAGCTGAGATGGTCTCAGTGGAGCATCCCTGACAGCCTGGGACTCCCTCTATGGATCTTTCCTGATGCTGTTGCCCTTCCAAATGTTGTGCTGAGCTCATGTTTGTTTCTTGCTTTCTTCTTTCCTTCCAACAGTGAAATCAGCTTTTCATCCTTCTCCATGCATCAGCAGCTGGCAGCTACATCTTCAGTGCCTTGTCATGCTGACGGGTCTCCTGCAGGGATTGCATAGATGTGTCCCTGGGGCTGCAGGACATGCCGGGACTTCCAGATGAACCTTTCCAGGCAGAAGCAGGGTGGTGTGCTCGCTGTGATGAGGGAAGAGGCTGGGACAGGCTTGCACTGAATAAAAAAAGGCATCAAGTAAGGGCTGCTGTGAATTAGGCAGGTTGTGCTAAATGGCATCAGCAATGCAAGTTGCCTTTTAAATGTGTATAATTCATGTGCACATACACACACGGTCTGCAGTTGCTGTCTTGCTGGCTGCAAGAAGTGAGGACAAATACCAGGAATATTAATGATAGTGATGAGCAAGTGACATTCTATCAGCTAGGGATCAATTAAATATTTTAGCCTACTCAAACAAAGGTTTTGCTGGGCACAGGGGATGAGAGGTGGTCTCTCCCTCACCAATGTGTATAAATACTTAAAGGGGGGAGCCAAGCACATGGAGCAGGGCTCTTCTCGGGGGTGTTGAGGAACAGGACACAGGCAAAAATTGATGCACAGGAAGTTCCACCGGAATATAAGGAAGAACAACACACTGGAACAGAGAGTAGGGAGGATGTGGGGTCTCCCTCACCGGAGATATTCAAGAACCGTCTGGGTGCAATGCTGTGCCATGTGCTCTGGGACAACCCTGTTAACACAGGGAGCTGGGACCAGATGGCCCAACCTGAGCTTTTCTGTGACTCCGTGATTCCCAGGACATGCACCAAGTCCCTTTCTGCACTTTCCAACCACGTTATCCCATTATCCCCAGGCGTGGGTGACCGAGCACATCCCAATCCCTGCCAGCCGGGGAGACTCAGTCAAAGCCGGCTCGGGCACTCTGGGGCTCCACCGGTGCGTCCGTTCC